CAAATATAAATATACGTGTACAATGATTTAAGGCTGTAGGTATATTAAACGGACGTAGAATTTCTYAGCCAGGAGTCCCTATCGGTGTGCCCATAATGGAGCCTCCCTTCAGATCTTCTTCAATGGTAAGTTTTAAATAAAATAGAATTATTACTTAGAGCTAATATGAAATTATCATTTTTATTTAGACTCCATCAGAAGATAGTAGMTACGCGRCACTGCAGGTGGATGATGCTAATAATAATTTGGAAATGGAATTTGCGACACCTTCCCCACCACGGCTATCACAGATGGCTGAATGGTTTCAATCAGGGTAAGTGCAAGCAAATTTTTAAATGTAGGCAAAGATCAAAATTGCCGCCTCTTGTTTTATTATAACTTTTCTTATATTCCGCATCTATATAAATATTAATTTTGCCGCCGTAGGCTTATGCCTACGTCGCCTACGCCTATAACCGSCYCTGGTTTCAATCCTTGTCSTCAGCCAAGTCAATGGAATCAACTTCACCTCAAATATTTCCGGACTACAACTCGCTGTCGTCAGTTTCACCAAGTATGTTAGACTTATCACGGCCTAGGGCTCCGTTTGAATATAACACGTTAATTACCGGGGAAATTTTGATCACATCTCAAAATTTATTAAAACTAACCTCATATATATATATATATTATATATTAATTAATATCATTATATTTTTCTAGATTCTTTGGTGTATCATATCCAAACTAACGATGTTTATGCTGATTTGACGGCTAACAGTAACTTATTAGACCGGATGGACACCGCAAATCTTCATCGTGACCATCCGTGTTATGTGGCAGAGAGGAAAAAGGTACCAGGATTCTWTTCCGATGAGACTGATGGACATACCATGACAGGGTTTTGCGCACTACGTGAAAAATCGTACGCATATAATATATATGCATAGGATGATGAAAGAGTAGAAGGAGAGTACATAAAGACGAAGGGGATTCGACCTCACGTAGTCAAACACCACATGACTCTAGATGARCATAAAAAATGTTTATTTGGTGAAGTCGGAGTGGAGAAGTACAAGGAGAATGTATCTATTCGCTCATTCAAACACCAGTTGATGACGATAAAAACGAGAAAGCTAACTTACAACAGTTATGACGATAAGAGGGTGGTTCCAGAAGATAAAGTGCACACACTAGCACATGGACATTATAGTATAGAATAAGTTATTACAAACATATATATATATATATATATA